CTTTTAAAAATATTTGACTATCTTGAGTATCCAGAACAATTGCCAGATCTTGTTTCAACATTCTGTTCTATAGATTTGGCAAAAGAAACTAGTTAGGTTTCCTAAAGCATAATCAGCAAATATTTAAATTGAAACTAGGAAGAGTGTCAGAATGACTTGTAACCATGAGCTGCTAAGACATTTGGTGCTGCAGTGGTGAAGAGCTCGACTAGTAACCAAAAAGTAGCCAGTTCAAACTCACCGGCCACTTTTGGAGAAAGATGTCCCTGTCTGCTGCTATCAAGACGTATAGGCTTGGAAACACTGAGGTTTCTCTTCCTCTGTGGTCACTTTGAGACAGAATTGACATCACAACCACGGGTTCGGTTTTGTGTTTTGTGAACTGCTATGAGGACCTCATGCACTGGCTGCAGAGGATCAAGGACTGCAGCCTTCAGTATGGACTGAGGCTCAATGTCAGGAAGACAAAGATTCTCACCACTGGGCCAATTGGCAGCGTCAGGATGGATGGTGAAGAGATTGAGATTGTTCACAGCTTCAGTTTGCTCGGCTCCATGGTCAGCACTCTTGGCACCAGCAGCCAGGAAATCAAAAAATGTATTGCGATGGGAAGGTCTACTGTTAATGACCTTTCTAAAGTACTCAAGAGCAATGGTGTCTCTCTGGAGACTAAGGTGTGCCTGATACAGGCCATGGTCTTTGAAATCACTTGTTATGCATCAGAGAGTCGGACAATGACTAGGGAGGATAGAAGGAGAATTGACGCCTTTGAGCTGTGGTGCTGGAGAAGAGTATTGAATGTACCATGGACTGCCAAGAAAACAAACAGATTCATCCTGGAGAGGTTAAACCAGGCTCTCCTTGGAGGCAAGGATTCTGGGGCTTCATCTGACATACTTTGGACATGTTGTAAGGAGAGACAGGTCCTTGGAGAGGGACATCATGCTTGGTAGGGTGGAGGGACAGCGCAGGAGGGGAAGACCCTCTATGAAGTGGATTGATTCAGTGACTGGGGTAATCGGGATGGGTGTGTCAGAGGTCATGCAGTTGGCACAGGATAGAGCAGGGTTTAGGGCTGTTGTACATAGGGTCACTATGAGTCACAAATGACTCGATGGCACATAACAACAACAACAACAACAAGGACAAGTAAGTAAGATAATGAAATACTCTGTAATTATTTTTGTTTATTCTAATTAGCTGTTAATAACTTCATCCCACATAAATATTTACTCTTAAATTTTTCTATTCAATTACAATGTCATAAATCTTTAGCAATCCATCCTAGAAGGCACTTAACAGCAATAACAACATAATCGCACTTTTCACACCTTGTTTTTGAAATACCACAAATGAAATTGCACATATGCCATGTTAATTGACAGGCTTGGAAGTTCTGAAGACAAAGGTGATAATTTAATTATTTGAATTGAAGCATACGTCAAGCAAATAGTTTTTAAGGCACCAGTCTTTAAAGTACTTTAATAGCATAACAATTTTAAGAAGTGAAATCTTTGAACATTTGTAGGGTACTTTATGAATTATCCCTCAAAATATGTAAATTGTCTTGATGTCAGTTCTCATATGAATGCTTCACTCTGTACTTACAGTGAGATGAACTGACACAGTGACTGCAGCCATGGGCTCCAATGTGTCAGGGATGATGAGGATGGTACAGGATAAGGCAGGTTTCAGGCCTGGTGTTCATAAGGTTGTTGTGAGACATACTCAACTTGACAGCACCTAACAACAACAGGTGAAATCAATCAGAATTAGGAAACTAGTCCTAATTTCTTCAGGAGGAGTGCCATCTTCTTCTGCTTAATTAGTGAGATCAGTTACTTCCCGTCTGTCTACTTTGTGTAGAGAGCAAGGTGTACTGAAAGAGTAGGATAGATGTTGTTTTGTCATAAAGACTGTAGACTTTGTGCAGACCATCACATCTTTCTTCTGTGGGTTCCAGCCCTTCACCGTTCAGCAGCTGACACTTAGCCCCGGTCAGAGCTGGGCTCCTTTGTGTACTCTTAGCTTTCATAATTTTTTTTCTTCTTCTTTTATGTCTCTGTTCCTTTAAACCCTTTTCAATGAATGACATCTTTCTTGTGTTTCCATAGTGATTTGAGAGCTGTTCTTTTTTCCTGTCTGCCCTAGGGTTCAGATCCCACTGCCTTCTCCGTACTGAACCAGGCCATCACTGGTCAGGTGGGTTTTGTGGATGTTGAATTTTGCACAACCTGTGGAGAAAAAGGAGCAAGTAAGAGATGTTCAGTGTGCAAAATGGTAAGGATGGCGTCCTCTTAAATTCACTGATACTTGGTGTGGATTTTATTCCAAGTCAATATTAAATTATACTGTAAATATAAGAGTAAATATTTCTGTTATATTGGTTTACTAATGTAGTCTATTCCATTGGTCATACGTTAGACTTTGAAAATAATGTTTTACTGTGAATTATTGGTATATGCCATTGAGTCTGAACCAAATCATAGTTGACCCTCCAGTAGGTTTTCACAGATAGTAAATCACACGGGAGGAGATTGCCCATTTTTCTACTGCAGAGCGGCTGGTGGATCTGAACTCTGTGCCTTTGAGTTAATAGCAAAGCTCCTTACTTACCACTAGGCCAGCAGACCACAGCAAATTAGGTTCTCATTTAACAGTCTCTACAAAAATTATTCAGGGAGCTCTGATGGGTTAGTGAAAAGAGTTGCACCATGAACCAAAGGTTTGCTCTTCCAATCAATCCACCAGCTGCTCTGGGAGAAATTTTGGCAGTCTCCTCCCATTCGCTTAACTGTCTCTGAAAACCCACTGGAGGGTCAGCTATGAGTTGTTTCTGACTTGCTAGTACACAGTAAGAACACCACCATCACAAATTTTTAGTGATACTAGTTACATTTTTCACAGTCATCATTCCCATGAATTCCATTTCTGCTTCACTATTTTTACTACTCTAATTTCCCTTCATTCCTTACTTTAACTTTGCTTTAAGCATATGAGGTTTTATATCTAATACTTGAGAAGTAATTTGGGGGACACTTGTGGTGTAGATGTAATTCTATACCATTTCTGCCTTCTGTCAAATTGTCAGACTACCTGATCTGCTAAGCTGACCACCTTGAAGAAAAAAAAACAAAACAATAAATGAGTAAATAGGATAATTCTTAAATATACATTTCAACCCTTCTGATACTTACTTTAACTATAATGTCATTGTTAACTCTTTCCTCTAAAAGTACAGCTTAATGACAGTCACCAACCTCTACCTTTTCTGGATAGTACCCCTCATTCCTCAGACCCCTTTTCGCAAATGGATTATGATTTGGTTATGTTCTTCTCAAATGTGTATGTCGCATACAAAGATGTTATCTATACATTCAGTTCACTCTGTAGACTCAAAATCAAACCCACTACTTCAAGTAAATTCCAACTTACGGTGAACATTGACTTTCGGAGGCTGTGAATCTTGATGGAGGGAAAGGGTCTTATTTTTTCCTACAAAGTAACTGGTGGATTTGAACAGCTGACCTTTGCATTAGCAGCCCAAGACATAATGCAATATGTCAACATATGTAATATTAATTTCCTATTGGTTTTAAGGTTGATATTCTTCAACATAAGATATGAAACCCACCCAGTATATCATAACCTATTTTTCCAGCTTTGTCTTACTTTTCCAATTTTCTTATCGTAAAGTTACTGAGATCATTTTTATTATAACTGTTATTACATTGAAAAACCCCATTCAAATACTCTGCTTAGAACAATAGCCATTTACTCTTTTTCTCATGTTTGTGGTTGGCTTATCTGTGACAGCTGTGCTCCATGTGTCTGATATCCTCTTGGATCAGCAGGCTAACCTGAGCATAATCTATGGCAATGACAGAGTCACAGATGAGCAACATACAGGTTCTCTGAGTCAGCCTCAGAATTTTCATTCTGACTCATCTATTGGTCAAAACATGTCACATGGCCAAAACCAAAAATCCACAGTCTACTTCTTTAGTAAAAAGAAATTTTGAAATCACATAGGGAAGGATATGATGGAGGGCTGAGCAAATAACTGGGATCAGTAATGTAATTTAAGGGAGCTCTGGTGATGTATTCTGTGAGGAGTTACGCAGCTAACGAAAGGCAGCACTTCTCTAGTGGTTCTAATCCACCAGCAGGTCTTCACATTGGAAGTCTCCTCCCATGTGATTGAAAGTCTTTAAAAAACCCACTGCAGAGGCAGTTACAAGTCAGTTCCAACTCAATGGCAATGAGTTTGAGAATGTAATTTACAACACTTTTTATATATATACCTAGGGTGAGAATCATGCTTGGAAAGGTGTAGTGTCAGCAAAAGAGAGGAAGACCCTCAGTAAGATGGATTTAATGCCATTGTTACCATAATAGGTGAGAGCATGACAGTAGTCATGAGGATGGGTCAGGACAGGGCAAGGTTCATAGGATCACTGTGAGTTGCAGACAACTTGATAGCACCAAATAACAACTTGGAAGCGAGAATTTGGAAACTCTATCTCACGTACTTTTGGCATGTTCTCAAGTGGAGCCAGTCCTTGGAAAATGACATCATGCTTGGAGGGGTGGAAGGTCAGCACAGAGAGGAAGACCCTGGATGAATGGAATGATACAGTGCCTGTGTCAGTGGGATCAGGTGTGTTGGGAATGGTGAAGTTGCCTCTGGAGAGGGGAATGTTCAGAGCCATTGTTTATAGGGTTGTTGTGAGTCATAGTTGACTCAAAGGCACGTAACAACAACAACAAGGGGTGAGACTTCATTTCATTTATTCTAGACATGTATTCAGGAAAGGCTCTTCCACTGAGGACATAGAGCTTGGAAAAAATAGAGGGTCAGGGAAATAAGGAAGCCCCTCAATGAAGTGAATTGACACGGTGACTGTCTTGTATACCTATTATTTTTTTTAAATCCAATCTAAAATTTACAGGTCTAAACCAGGACAGATTCACACATTGTGGTTTTAGAGTAAAATGTGGGAAACCTATCCTTAAAATATATTTCTTAATTTAGAGTTGTAATTGGAAAATTGTGCAATCACAGTTTTTGAAATGAAAATAAATGTACAATTCCTTTCAGGTAATATATTGTGATCAGAACTGCCAGAAAACACATTGGTTTACACATAAAAAATTCTGTAAGAATCTGAAGGACATTTATGAAAAGCAACAATTAGAAGCTGCCAAGGAAAAGAAGAGTCAAGAGGAGAATGGTATGTATAGAAAGACAGCTTATGCCACTTCTCAGGTGAGGAGAGGAGTGGTCAGTAATACTGACATAAGAATGGGCTCTGTTCTGGGAACCATAGAAACTCAAGGACAACTAACATAAGGGTCATGCTGAAACTCAGTGAGTCCCTATTTTAAATCTTTGAGGTAATGGTGTGAAATGTGGTTAGCCTGGATCCGCCTAGAAACGAGGAGACATAAAATTCTGGGAAATGAGCTTTGTTCCACATTCTATTTTCTGTCTCATGACACTACCCTGGAACAATGGAACTCCAGTGGATATTTTTATCTGTATTCTGTCCATGAAGAATTTTAAGGCCCTTAGATGTGAAAGTTGAATTTTCACTAAAGGCTTGCGACAGGTTTTGTTTTAAGGTCAGCAATCTTTAAAATTTTAAACATTTCAGAAGTGCAGATTAAATGACAGCAGAAGCTTATAAATTACAGATGGATTTATTTAGCATATTGCTGATTTCATGTGTAAATTAAATGTCTCCAAGTGTCAGAGTAGTGAGGTCCATGTTATTTTTTTCTTCATTCTTTTTTGTGCCCTGGTTGTTTCCTCTTTCCATGAGGTATGTGATTCATGCTCACTGGGGACAGTGAGTTGCATCAGTAGTGATTCTCAGACTCAGAAGGAGGAGGAGGTGTATCTGCTGCACCAGAGACTAAATGATGTGTTCTGGGGAGAATATATATAATTTGGAAGAGTTGTCTTGGTGATTCTAACACTAGGCATTTCCACTTCCATCCCTCAAGGGACTATCGGTCTTTTACCAATTGGCAGAGAAAAACTATTAGTGAGATGAAATGATTTGCACAAAATTAAACTATTTTGTATATGGAGAGTAAGTCAAACTTTCCAAGACACTATGCCTTCTGTCTCTTGAGACTAAAACTTTTTATTTCCTGTATATTGTATACAAAGAGAGCTATTTATTTCATCATGAAAGAATAGAACTTCCAGTAGTATCAGTGCTTCTAGTTGTTAAGCATCAGCCATGTGCCCACACACTGAAAGTGTTTAGAAATGCCTATATTATTAAGAAATGTAGAAAAAGCTTTATGACCCCTTCTTTATAGTGAAGAGAACTTTGCAGAGGCAAATATTTCCCCCAAGTCACTGATTAATGAAAGGGCTAATTTTAAACATGGATTTTGGCAGATCCCAAACAACTCTCATGATTAAGAGTGTTCATTTTGAATCTGAAGCCCCGAGTTCAAATCCTGCCTCTTCTGCCTATACGCTCTGCAACTTTTTAAACCTATTCTCAGTTTCCTCATTGGTAAAATGGGATGGAGAAGGGAATGCCTAGTGTAAGATTTCACATCTTGCAGATATAATGAAGATTACATGGATAAATATAAAGCATTTAGACGTGTCTGGCATATCTTAGGTACAAAATAACTGTAGTTTTTGTTGTGCATTCTTTGCCTTTTATCAGATGGAAAACCTAATGTCAATTCTAATTGCATTAATGAAGAGCAATCAAATGCTGAAGCTTGTTCATCTCAAGAGGATTCCAATACTAACGATTCTGCAGCAGGGGAGAACAATTCTCTGCAGAGTGATGCAAGGTTGGAAGGTGGACACGATGGCCCTGCAGATCCACAGGCGTCAGAGGAGTGAAGGAGAACCAGGCCAGGCATGACACTTCTTGGCAGGGAGCTGAGAAACTCAGGAGACCATGTCCTCATTGCCTCACAGCACCTGCATGGCACTACAGCGGGTTCCCACATTTCCTATAATCGATGTTTCCACGCAAAGCTCTGTCTGCTTCCCCTTAACTGCCTATTGATTTCTCATCTGTAAATAGATGAATATCCCCATGCAAATTTTTTTCTAGGTGTAGGAGAAACAATTTCTGTTCCCTTTCTGAGGCCTGCTACTCTGCAGTCATTCTCAGAGGAAAAGAAATCTCCTAAAAGAAGAAATGTAGGCTCCAAGGATCCAAAGAATAAGCAGAATAGATACGAGATGTCATTTTCATAAATGATATTACAGCCACAGAGAAGGATAACTTTTAAAAAATTATTACTTATAATGTGAATAAAATGCATAAAACTAGAATTTGCCATCGCAAACTTGCTTATAGGTGCAATGTAATAAAGAAAAACTTTATATCAAAGGGCCTTTACCATAGTTCAACTGATGGTAGTATTTTTGTAGGAATTATACTGAATAGTCTGAACTTACATACTTGCTGTGATGACTTTTTATCTATAGGGCCTTCGGAAATGTCAAACCCCACAGGAAGGACTAAGGCATAGCTAAGTTATCTCAGCTAGTGCATATCACAAAAAACTAAGGCATGGCTACATTTTCTCAGCATGCACATACAAAAAGATGCTATTTGTGATTAAATAATTGCAAAATATAATATAGCTGTCAAACTAATCCATGTGCCATATTTTCATTTGGAGGGCTGACTCCTGAAGGCTTTTCATGTGGCTTTTTCTGTCCACAAATTGTGATTTACAGCTGTCAGTTAGGGAAAATCCTAGCATTCACGTTCAGCATATATCATATTTAAATAGAGCGAGAGTACATGGTACCTGAAGATAGTGCTGTGTTTCAGTATTTCTTGTATTGATTGTAAAGTAAATTGTGCCTATGATTATTAATGACTTACATTTTGCTTCAAGGTTTATTGCTGCCTGTGGCAGGTAGGAATATTAGACAAACTTAACAAATACTAGTTTAAAATATCAGGGAGCTCCCATGGCCAAGTAATAAGAAGTGGTACTGCCATCCCAAAGGGAGGCAGTTTGAGCCCATGAGCTGGTCTGCTGAAGGAGGATGGGCAGTCTCTTCCTGTGTGATTTATAGTCTCTGAAACCTGCTGAAGGCTCAGCTATGGCTTGGTTCTGCCTTGACAGCCCATAGCAACAAATATTAAGGCATTTAAGAGATTCCAACACTCACACTCTCATCTGCCTTTGAGTCAGAACCGACCTATGTTGATGCATTTGAACTACCTGCCTTTGGGTTGGCAGCACAATTGCCTACCTTCTAGGCCACCGGTTGTGAATACCTTTGTCATTTTAAAAATAAATATGTATAATTTACAGAGCAAAGTCTAGAATTTCATTTCACTTCATATATTCTTTGACCAGGCTACTTTTCTTTTCTCATACTCACTTTTAAATTTTCTTTGCCCCAACACATATTCTATACAAACCACGTTGTTCCAGGAAGACATCATGAAAGTGGAATCATTGTTATCCATTAACTGGAGAGATATTTATCAGACAGATTTTGTCTGAACTTGTCACTCATACCATACCTTATTTGGAAAATGTGTAACTCATTAAAGTAACTAATCTCTACACAGATAAACATGCATCTTAAAAAGCAAAATGGTCCCCTAGATTTTCCTCCTCCACAAACATGCTTTATACCATGGTCCCCTGTTTTTCAAATTATAGATGGGATACTTCTTTTACTAAATCGTACTTTACTGTACTTCATCTGTGTTATATTTTTTATAAATTGAAGGTTTGTGTCAATGAGCTCTATTAACATAATTTTTTCCAGTAGCACGTGCACACTTCATGTCTTTATGCCACATATTTGTAATTCCTGTAATATTTTAAGATTTTAAATAATGCTTAATTTTTAAACAATGCTATTACACATTACAGTATAGTATAAATGTAATTTTTATGCCCTGGGGAAAAGTCTTATGACTAGTTTTATTGTGATATTTGCTTTATTGTAGTGGTTATGGAATGGAATCCTAGATATTTCGAACATATGCCTGTATTTTGTTTCAATATTTGTGTTATTCTCCTCCTGTTTTTCACCTGTTTTCCAGTGGCTATTGTACTGGGATCTTTTTACTACGGATATTGTGAAAAAGCAGAAGGAAATAAAAAAGAAAAAAGATAAGGTGTGGCAATGTAGAAGTGATTTCTTTTCCTTCATTGAGGTGCTAATATGGAGAGCATCTAACACCATGATGTTGCTGCTGTGTGCTGTCAAGTGAAACACATATCGAGTCCCAAAGGGAGAGAGTAGAACTGTCCCATGTTGTTGTTGTTAAGTACCATCAAGCATGACTCAGAATGACCCTGTGAACAATGGATTTGAATCCTCTTCTAGCCTGTGTCATCCTCATAATTTCTGACATACTTGAACCCATTGATACAGTCATCGTGTCAATCCATCTGATTGGAAGAGAGTTGTCCTCTCTTTCACTAACCCTCCGCCTTTCCTAGCATGATGTTCCTTTCCAAGGAATAGCCTCTACTAGCAACATGTTATATGGGACAAAGTTTTGTCATCTTTGCCTCCGAGGAACACTCTGGTTGTGCTTTTTCCAAGACATATCTGTTTGTTTTTTGGCAGTCCACGGGATGTTCAGTACCCTTTTCCATACATCAACTCAGAGACATCAATTTTTCTTCCCTATAGGGCCAGATTGCTAGGTCATTTCTCCAGTGGGGATTCCTGGGTGAGTTCAGACCCTGTGGTGGGCACATTACAATTCACTGTGCTCCTAACAGGTCTCCTAATGATGATAGCTGGTGTAAATGGAAACTTAAAGATGGGACAAAGAGGACTTTAGACACAAAACATATCAGTATTAAAGTTCTCAGATGTGTGCCATGGAAGAGCTATCAGGAAATGTTGTTTAAAGGAATAATGGGTTGGTTCTGATTATAATCCTTCATTCATCACAACTCTAAAGTAAACTCTTTCTACTAGGTGTTCCTTAGAGGCAGAATGGTGACACTTCATCTCACATACTTTGGGCATACTTTATGAGGGGCTGTTCCTTGGAAAAAGGCATCATGCTTGGAAAGATGGAGAACCAGCAAAAGACAGACTGACAACAAGATGGATCGACATAGTGACTTTAACAACGGGCTCAAGTATGTCGGAGATGGTAAGGATGGCACAAAAGAGAGGACACAATTTGGTTCAGTTTTTAGTAGCTGCTGTAAGTCAGTTGACCCGATGGTACCTAACAACAGTAACAACAATTGTAATACCATAAAAAGTTAGCCATGCTTGTTATTTTTTTTAAACCCATGTTAATGTATTTTCTACCTGTTATCAAAAAACTTCATGAAAAAGACAGGTTTATGATAGTCTTAAATAGAATAATTCTTGTACAGTGAGCAGATAGTAGCTATTCAATGAGCCAGTGAGGCTCTTGGACTCAACAATTCTGACTTCTGGTGGACCCATATGATAAGAATAAGTTGGCCCCATAGTGTTTGCTAGGCTATTGTCTTTAAAGAAGCATGCTCCTAGATCTTATTCTCAAACAAGAGGAGTTTGGTGGCCTACTGGTAGAAGCTGCACTACAATCCCAAAGGCATGTGGTTTGAACCCATCAGTTTGAATCTCTGCAGTAGAAGAATGGGCAGTCTCCTCCCGCGCGATCAACTGCCTCTGAAAACCTGCTGGAGGGTCAGCTATGGGTCGGTTCTGATTCAACAGTACTCAACAAAAATAACATTCTCAGAGGAGGTGCTCTGGTGGGATAGTCCATACTGAGTTGCATTATTAACCCAAAGGTCACACATCTCCAGAGGTTCAAATCCACCAGCTGCTCCAGGGAAGAAAGGTAGATACTCTCTGCCTTCTAACTTACAGCCTCAGAAACCCAATGGAGGGTCACAATGAGTAAGAATTGACTTAATGGCAGTAAGTTTGAGCTTGCTGGTTTTCAAGAGGTTTTTTCCCCCCAGCTCTTAATAACCCCCTGAGTAGGTTCAAACCACCCTCTCAGTTAAGTAGCTGACCACATAACCATCTCACCACCAACCACCAGGGCTCCGTTGAGATTCAGTAGGTAATAAAAATAGCTAACACTGGAAGTTATGAGGTCTCTGACACTATCTCGCTTCGTAGTCACAACAGCTTTATGAATTTGTCTTTATTTTAACCTTTTAACACAGATAAGAACTCCTTGCCTGGTAAAACAGTTGGACAATTAACCTGAAATTTGGTGGTTAAGCCCACCCAGATATACTTCAGAGGTCAAGCTTTAGGATCTGCCCTCAGAAAGTCAGAGACTTGGAAACTCCTTGGTGTACCTCTACCGTACACACGTTAGGTCACCATGAGTTGAATTGTTAGTACATTCCCCCAAAGTGCCAGAGTTGCACTCAATACAGCCTTACATAGTGCATGCTTAATACAGTAACATGTATTGTACATAGTATCTCTTGAGCTATCAAATAATAGGTCAGAAAGCCATTGTGTTATAGCTGTGGTATTTCCTGGGTCCTTAAGTGCCTGCCGGTGCATGGAGGCTGAAGGTTCAAAGTGTCAATTCGTTCTTCTCCCAAGGACTTTGCTCTCTCGCCTGTTTTGATATTGGCTCCACCACAATAGTGTGTGTGGCTGTTTCCTAAGTGCCATCAGAGAGGGAAAGATGTCACTCTGCCTTTTAGATGCTTCTGATCCAGTTCATTAGCCCTTGACCCACCCTCAGAATTCGGCACCTTTCTTCTGGGAGAACCAGCTGTGCCTCTGAGTTACCTTAAGTGACCAGCTTTGTCACTCAGCACCCGGCAACAGCTCGCAGCTCTTTCCGTTTCTGTTTCTACTAACAACAGGCTCTAGCTGGGCTGAGTCCAGATCATTAGCCCACACTCAGAGTCTGCAAATGCCTCCAGAGCCGAGAAGAAAAACAGTTGACTGGATTTTGAAAATAATCATAAATCAGAGTGTATTCATACAGAGGAATAATGAAAACAAAGACAACGACAGGATTATTGTTTTTAGCAACAAAATGGTTATTATATCTTACAGTGTCATGGGAAAGAAATCAGACACAAGACATCTTTGACTCTATATATGCCTTTCAAAAATGGACATGAGGTCTTGGAAGCAAGACACTCATGACGTTTGAAGAGTGAGCAGTGAGCAGTGACCAGTGACAGGAATGAGGCACTTTTAGAATGCAAAGATATATTCTGCTTCTTGATCCAAGATGCTGGTTACTTAAACATGTTCAGTTCTTAGAATGTGTTCAGCTGAATGCTTCTGATGTAGACATCTCATGGCACATGTGTTACTTCAACAGAAACGGTTTTGATTTTTTACTGAGTGTTTCAGTTTAAATGTTTTGAATAAAAAAAACATATGCTAAATCATGGAGAAGTTTAAAATGTAACTGAAAACAGCTATGATTTCTGGAAACACCGGGAGTTTGTGTTATCTCAGTGTGACGGTGAGCCTTTCAGCAGGTTCGGTGCCTTTCCCTTCAAGATATTTTTCATCTCGGGTTGGGACTGTGTTCCAGTTCAGAGACGTGATAGTCATCACGGATCTCTTCAAAGATCTCACAAAAACAGCATCTTCTGGGTTGTCAAACACAGTCCTGCAAGAATAAAAGTTACAAGAAAAAAAAAAAAGTGAGGTAGGCCAAGCTAAAATTGTTTTTAAAAATGTAAGGAAATAAAATGTTTTTCTCTGTTATTTTTAGTGTAGTACCACTAATAATTTTGGGGATCTGCTGACAAAAACTATATTGTGCGGATCATAAATTATGGCTAACATTGAGAAGAATGGGAATTCCTGAACACTTGATTGTGTTCTTGTTGTTGTTATATGCCGTCGAGTCGCCTGCAACTCATAGAGACCCTATGTACAACACCCTAAACTCCGCTCTGTCCTGTGCCAATCGCACCCTCTCTGACACTCCCATCCCAATTATCCCAGTCACTGAATCAATCTACCTCATAGAGGGCCTTCCTCTCCTGTGCTGTCCCTCCACCCTCCCAAGCATGATGTCCCTCTCTAAGGACTGGTCTCTCCTCACAACATGTCCAAAGTATGTTAGATGGAGCCTCAGAATCCTTGCCTCCAAGGAGCCACCTGGTTTAACCCTTTCCAGGACAAATCTGTTTGTTTTCCTAGCAGTCCATGGTATTCTCAATACTATTCTCCAGCACCACAGCTCAAAGGCATCAATTCTCCTTCGATCCTCCCTGTTCATTGTCCAACTCTCTGATGCATAACAGGTGATTGCGAAGACCATGGCCTGTATCAGACGCACCTTAGTCTCCAAAGAGATACCATTGCTCTTCAGCACTTTGGAGAGGTCCCTAACAGCAGACTTTCCCATGGCAATGCGCCTTTTAATTTCCTGGCTGCTGGTGCCGAGACTGTTGACTATGGAGCCAAGCAAACTAAAGCTGTGTACAATCTCAATCTCTTCACCATCCATCCTGATGCTGCCAATTGGTCCGGTGGTGAGAATCTTTGTCTTCTTGACATTGAGCCTCAATCCATATTGTAGGTTGCAGTCCTTGACACTCTGCAGCAGGCGCTTCAGGTCTTCCTCAGTTTCAGCAAGCAGGGTTGTGTCATCCGCATAATGCAGATTTTTGATAAATCGTCCACCAATCTTGACCCCATATTTCTCATAGAGCCCAGCCTCTCGGATAATCTGTTCTGCATATAGGTTGAAAAGGTATGGAGATAGGATGCATCCCTGGCGTATGCCCTTCCCAATTTTGAACCATGCAGTGTTCCCTTGCTCTGTTTTGACGACTGCCTCCTGGTCCAAGTATAAGTTTCGCATTAGAACGACCAAGTGTTCTGGGATTCCCATTCTTCTCAGAGTCAGCCACAGTTTGTTATGATCTACACAGTCAAATGACTGTTACGTGAATAGAGCAAGGGAACACTGCCCAGTTTAAAATTAGGCAAGGTGTGCATCAGGGTTGTATATTTTCTCCATACCTATTTATATGCTGAGCAAATTATTCAAGAAGCTGGACTCTGTGAAGAAAAATGTGGCATCAGGATTCAAGAAAAAATCATCAATAATCTTTGTTATGCAGATGACACAGCCCTACTTACTGTAAGTGAAAAGGACTTAAACATTTGCTGCAGAAGGTTAAACATTGCAGCTTTCAATATGGATTTCATCTCACTGTCAAGAACAGTCTTCACCACTGGCCCAATAGGCAACATCATGATTAACTGAGAAAAAACTGAGACTGTCAACGACTTCATCTTCCTTGGAACCACAATCAATACAGTTGGTACTAGTAGTCAGGAGATTAAGAGATAGATTGCACTGGGAAAGTCTATAGTCAGGGACTTGACGAAATTTTTTAAGGAGTAATTATGTCATGAGGACTAAGATGGGCCTGATTCAGGCCATAGTCTTTTTAGTCATTTGCTATGCATCTGGGAGCTGGACAATGACTAAAGATGGCAGAAGAAGAATTGATGTCTTTGAACTTTGGCATTGGAGAAGAGTGCCAAAGGTCCATCCCATGGACAATCAAAACAATGAACAGATATGTCATAGAGAAGATTCAGCCAGAGTGCTCCTTGAAGGCAAAGATAATGAAACATCATCTCATGTACTTTGGGCACATTGTTATGAAAGGTTATTTTTTTTTTATTCACAATTCTGGGGTTTATTAGGGAAGTTAATAGGCTATAAAATTCAGGGTGGTAATAGGATACAATCCTTTATTCCAGACACCTACTCAGATGTTCAGGAACTTTGACCTTTAGCCTCATGACTTAGGTCAGAGTCACAAAGTTCCCTTAGTCCTGCACATTATGACGTCTTCCTTCATTCTTCCAGAAAGCTTGGGCGAAGTCCTCTTTTTTTTTTTTTTTTATTCATTAAAGTGTATTATGGGAAATTCAGATAATTTAGGAGTTCAACATAATTAAGGAATAATATCACAATAAAAGTAAAATAAAAATATCACTTACTTGTCTACATTATTGCCAAACCTGAAATCTGAAAAAAAAAATTCTAAGTGAGTATTTTTTTAATGTTTATTCAACAATGAGACAAGGGGACAATGTCATAGAAGAAGTATAGTTTTTATATTTGATCAATCATTTGGATAGTAGATCGTTGCACTAAAATATATATTGATACCTAATAAGAAAGAAAGTTTTCTTTTAAATATGGTTGGTTTTGCCTTAAGTATTGGAGCAAATTCTTTGCTATAATACAAGTCTCAAAATCCCAGGAATAAAGCGCTTAAGCACTTAGTTATCGATGAAACCCGCATCAGAAGTGTAAGTGTAGATATGGAGGAGGAAGAGGAGGAGGATTCTTTTTACAGGCACAGGCATCCACAAGTGGACTAATAATGCCAACTGAGAAATATTTAGAGCTTTTTAAAGCATTTGGATTCTTGGCATTAACTTCAAAGAAATAAAATAAATCCTAGATCACAAGAATCTCTCTCTTCCCTAGCTTTGGAACTCCCAGCCTGGATTTCTTATGGTATCTTGCAGAGACTATCACTGCTTTGTTTATGCTCTGCTGAAGGCCTCCTGCCAGATAGAGATGGAAATTACCAGCACCTGTTGGGCCTCTGCTTGGGAGCGGCTCCCAGCCTCTCTCCCTTCACAAATGGTCTTGGATGGCCTCCTTCATCTTTGCAGACCTGTTTTCTTTTCTACATTTCTGCACACTAAAAAGTGCAATCTCCCTTTCATTTTCTATGTCTATTTCATCTTACCAGAAGTGCCAATATTGAGTTTTCTGAATGTTTACAACACACACACACACACACACACACACACACACACACCCCATGTATTTTGACATGTATGTATACCACAGGTTTGTTGACTAAAATTTTGGCATTACTCTGCATTACATTATTCTCCAATCTGTTTTCTAATACTCTATATTATGATGTGGTTATATAATGGGATAGTTCATATTGTATGAATGTGACATAATTTAGCATTCTCTATGTGAATGGTTGAGTATTGGCAGCATAGTTCAGAAGGATTTTGATAGATAAGCCAAAAACCATAAGTGAGTGAATGCATGATTATTTAGATTGTTTTAATTTTTTTTTTACTTTTACATAAATATGCATCAATAAGCAGTCTTACACAGCTGTTTGCCCTTATTTCCAAGTAGTTCTGTAGGAGAAAAATGTCAAATTGAATTGTTGTTGTTAAATTATTTACACATTTTACATAGCCATGAGGACTATCCTAGGGTCTCCCAAGAAAGTTTATCCAGTTTATATCCTACCAATAATATATGAGTTGGGGTCTTTATCTCCCTCATCTTTATGCCTGCTTAAACAAAACAGAGAAGGCGTTTTGGGAAATTACAACGTATGAGTATGTATTACATATTAGGGGTTGCTGGTGGCTTAGGGATTAGTAGTTGTGTTACCAAACCCAAAAGTACATAGTTCAAATCCACCAGCTGCTCTGTGGGATAAAGATTGGCAGTCTCCTCCTGTTCAATTTACTGGCTTGGAAAACCTGCTGGAGGGTCAATTATGGGTCAGTTCTGATTTGATGATATTTAACAACAACATTACATATCAGAATATATGTTCATAGTGATTAAATTTGTTTTAGCTGCAAAGAACAATTTAAAATATATTGATAAATCTTACAGAGGTAAATTTCCTTATTGTTAAACCATCAAGTTAAATTATTTTGGAGTGAAGTGCCCTAATGTTGTCCACCAACTACTCATATGCAGGTTCAAGATGAAGTTGAGGAAAATTAAATCAAATCCACAGGAACTAAGATTTGACCTTAAGTCTGTCCCACTTGAATTTCAAGACATCTCAGGGACAGGTTTGAGGCCCTGAGCACCAAATGAGCTCTGGGAAGATATCAAGAAAATTGTTCATGAAGAAAGCAATAATAGATCATTACAAAGGCTGAAGAAGAAGAAAAGACCAAGATGGATGTCAGATGAGACTCTGAGTATTGCAGTAGAGTGCCAAGAAGCGAAAGCTAAAAAAAGAAATCAAGAAATCAAAGAGCTGAACAGAAAATTTCAAAAGGAAGCTCAGGATGACAAAGCAAGATACTATAATGAAATGTGCAGAGAGCTGGAGTCAGAAAATCAAAAGGGCTGGACTCGCTTAGGGTTTCTTAAGCTGAAGGAGCTAAAAACAAATTCAAGCCACAGGTGGCAATACTTAAAGACAGTTTGGGTAGAATGTTAAATGATCCAGGAAGTATCAAGAGAAGATGGAAGGAGTACATAGAGTCACTGTATCAGAAGGAATTGGCTGACACAGAGGAATTTCATGAAATAATATATGAGCAAGAGTCTATGGTGATGAAGGAGAAGTTCAAGTTGCTCTGAAGGAATTGGCAAAGAACAAGGCTCCAGGAGTTGACAGCATACCAACTGATTTATTTCAACAAACAGACGCTGCCTTGGATGTGCTAAGTTGTGCCAAGAAATCTGGAGGACAGCCAGCTGGTCAACTGACTGGAAGAGATGGATATTTGTTCCCATTCCAAAGAAAGGTGACCCAACAGAGTATGGAAATTATCAAATAATATCATTGGTATCACATGCAAGCAAGATTCTGCTGAAAATTATCCAAAAACATTTGGAACAATATGTCAACAGAGAACTGCCAGGTGTGCAGGCTGGATTTAGAAGAGGTCGTGGTACTAGGGATATTATAGCTAATGTTAGATGGATCTTGGAGGAAAGCAGAGAATACCAGAAGAATGTCTATCTGTGCTTCATTGACTATGCAAAGGCTTTTGACTGTGTGGGTCACAACAAGCTATGACTGTCTCTGAGAAGAATGGGAATTCCAGAACATTTTATTTTGCTAATGCAAAGTCTATACTTGGACCAAGAGGCAGTCATAAGAACAGTGCAGGGAGACACTGGATGGTTCAAAACCAAGAAGGGTCCGTCAGGGATGTATTTTGTCTCCATACCTTTTCAATCTGTATGCAGAATAGATCATCCAAGACGCTAGGCTGGATGAGGAGGAATGTGGCATCAGGATTGATGGAAGAATCATCAACAACCTGTGTTATGTGCATGACAACCCTGCTTGTTGAAACTGAGGAGGACCTGAAGCACTTGCTGCAGAAGCTGAAGGACTGCAGCCTTCAATAAGGATTGAAGCTCAACATGAAGAAAATAAATGCCACTAGGCCAATTGGCAGCATCAGTATGGATGGTGATGAGATTGATATAGTTAACAGTTTTAGTTTACTTGGCTCCACCCACAGTCAACACTCTTGGTAACAGCAGCCAGGAAATCAAGAGATGAATTGCATTGGGAAAGTCAGCTGTGAGGAACCTCTCAAGAGTACTGAACTGCAACGACGACAGGCTGGAGACTAAAGATGCGCCTGATCCAAGCTATAGTCTTTGCAATTACGTGATATGCATTGGAGAGTTGGACAGTGAGTAGGGATGATAGAAAGAGAATCGATGCCTTTGAGTTGTGGTGCTGGAGAGTGTTGAATATACCATGGACTGCTAGGAGAACAAACAAGTTTGTCCTAGAGAGAGTGAAGCCAGAATGCTGCTTGGAGGCAAGGATTCTGAAGCTTCGTCTGACATAATGTGGGCACGTTGCAAGGAGGGACTTGTCCTTGGAGAGGGACATCATGTTTGGGAGAGTGGAGGGATGGCACAGGAGAGGAAGACCCTCAATGAGACGGATCGATTCTGTGAGTGGAGTGGTGGGAATGAGTGTGTTTGAGATGGTGAGGCTGGCACAGAATAGAACGGCATATAGGGCTCTTGTACATAGGATCTCAATAAATCACAAGCCACTCAATGGCACATAACAACAACAACAACAACAATATTGTCCACCGAAAATGAAATGGTTCAACAGGATATTCAAATTTTTAAAAGCAAATATACCTGAGCTTCCTTTGCAGTTCTTGAATTGCCATTATTGGAACCTACTCACTGGGCTTCCAAGGCTGTAAATCACGTTGGAGGAGATTAACTAACTTTCTTCTGGAGAGCTGCTGGAGGAATTAAGCATCTGAAAAGCACCACCTTTGGGTTAGTTAACAGCAAAAATCCTTAAGACTATGCCACCAAAAGCTCTGGGATGTGGTAAAGGATAATTAGTAAGATGTAAAGAAAAGTTTTCTGAGGATGCCTGTTCTTCCTAAACAAAGAGGCAAAGCTTTATGTATTATTGTCAACTGCCTTCAAGTCAACTGTGACTCATAGCCTCTTAAGGAACAACGATGGAGAAATTTGTTCAATCTTTGTTATGTTGTTGTTGTTATGTGCCGTCGAGTCGCCTACGACTCATAGCGACCCTGTGTACAACAGCCCTAAACTCCGCTCTGTCCTGTGCCAATCACACTGTCTCTGACACTCCCATCCCAATTATCCCAGTCACTGAATCAACCACCTCATAGAGGGCCTTCCTCTCCTGC